TAAAGCAGGGTTGAAAGGGAAATTTATAGAACTTAAAATGACATATTAGAAAAAAAGAAAGGGTCTCAAATATGCTCTCTACAGTAAAGAAGATGGGAAGAACAAAATAAACCCAAAGTAAGTTGAAGGGAGGAAAATATAAAGAACAGAAATAAATGAAATGGAAAATACAAAGCCATAGAGAAAATTAATGGAAAGATACCAATCACCAATATCTGAAAAGACACAAAAGATATATCTTGTGTCTCTATTTTTATTCAACTGGAATATTGAACATTCTTGTTGTTGAAGATAGAGAAAAATAAGGAGAGGAAGTGAGAGAGAAAGCACACATATGGGAAAGAAGAAATAAAATTATCCTTATATGCAGATAACATGATCTATGTAGAAAATCCCAATGTATTTATAGAAAAGCACTTAAAACCAGTAAGTATATTCAGCAATCCATGGGGCACAAGATCAAGGCACAAAAATCAATCACATTGCTATGTACTAACAATAAACATGTAGAAACTAAAAATAAAAACATATCATTTACAATTGTGCTAAAGAAAATGAGATACATCTAAGTATAGATGTAACAAAATATATACAGTATCTATATGCTGATAATTGCACAGTATCAAGAGGAAAAAATATCAAAGATAACATAAATAAGACATACCATGTTCATGGATTGGAAGACTCAACAAAAAGTAGAAAAGTCAGTTCTCCCCAAATTGAGCTATAGATTAAATGTAACTGCTCTCAAAATCCCAGCAAGATTTTTTTAAGTTCAGGAGGATTTATTAGCAATAGAAAGGCTTCCCATAAAGCGGAGGGGGCCTGAATAGGTTGCATCACCCCCAGCAAGATTTTTTTATAGGCAGTTACAAGTTTATTCTAAAATTTATTTGGAAAGGCAGACTCTATAATAGCTAAAAACAATCTCGACAAAAGAAAAATAAAATGGGCAAAATCACTCTATCTGATATTAAAGCCTACTGTACATCTATAGCAATCAACATAGTATGATAAGGTCAGGAGAGACATAAAGATCAGTTCAACAGGATTGAGAACTCAGAAGTGAACCCACAAATATGCCAACTAATCCTAACAAATCTGCAAATGAAACTCAAAGGAAGTCTTTTCAACAGATGGTAATGGAACAACTGAAGTCTACTTGAATGTCAAATGAAAAACTACTAGAAAAAAAATTGAAGAAAATGTTTGGGATTTAGGACTAGACAGACTTTTTAAGACCTGGTACCAGAAGCATGTTCTACAAAGGGAAAAATTAGTAAATTGGGCCTTCACAAAATTTAAAAATATTGTTCTGTGAAAGATCTTAAGAGAATGAAAAGCAAAACTATTGCCTATATTTGTAAACCACTGATTCGACAAATGATTGGTTATCTATTAAAATAAATAACTCTCAAAACTCAACAAAAAGCAAGGAGATAATAGGTTAAAATATAGAGACACTAAACAAAAGAATATATAGAGATGGCAAATAAGGACATTAACGGATGTTCAATCCATTAGCCAGTAGGGAAAGGCTAATTAAAACAGAATGAGATATCAGCACATGCCTATCAGAATGATTGAGATTAAAAAAATAGTGAAAATACCAAGGAAACAGAGAAACTGAATCACTTGGACACAGCTGGTGGCTGGTGGGTAATGCAAAATGGTGTGTTACTTTGGAAACAGTGTGGCAAATTCTTATAAAACTAAACATGTAATTAATATACAAGTGAGCTATTGCAATCTTGAGCATTTATCTCAGAGACATGAAAGTTTATGTACATACAAATACATGTACATGAATGTTCACAGATTTACTCATAATAAAAATGAAAACTTAGCTGTTCTCCCACAGGTGAACAAGACGCATTGTGGTAAATCTACAACATGACTACCCAGCAATCAAATGGCACAAACTATTGATACACAAAACAATCCAGGTAGATCTCCAAGAAATTATGCAGTGTGATAAGCCATTCTGCATGATTTCATTACAGAATATTCTTAACATAACAAATTTCAGGACTGGATAATAGTCACTGCCAGAGGCAGGAAGGAGGCTATGGGATGGAACAGCTATGAAAGGGCAACATGAGGGATCCTGATAATGGCAGAAATGTTCTCTATCTTGACATTCTCAATGTCAGTATCTCGGTTGTGATATTGAACTGCAGTTGTTTTTTTTTTTTTTAAATAATGTAATAGCTTATTTTTACATCTTGTGCCTTTTTCCATCTCAGTCGTAATCCCCATGGGCTTTCCATCACCAAATCACCCGTGTGCCATCACCATAGTCTGAACTGCAGTTTTAAAGATATTCTCTCAGAAGGAAAAATTTGGTAAAGTTTCCTCTTGTGTAAACTTTATCTAAACTTTCTGTATCATTCTCACAAAATGTATGTAACTTTAAAAGAAAAAAGAAGAAGGAAAAAACCAGATTTGGTTCCCAGCTTTGCCAGCCATAAGCTAGTTAGGTAACTGACCTTGAACAGATTTTAAACTTTCTCCTCAATGTCCTCACGGGCTAAATAGCAGCTGAAACATTCTAAAAGTTAAACGCATATATGAAAGAAAATTAGGCTATGAGCAGGGCACATGTTAAAAACAGGCTGTCTAAGCCATATACCAGAGACATTTTGTGGGGGTGGAGTGGGGAATGGGACCAAAAACCAGGGGGGGGGGGGGGGAGGGGGAGGGAGAGGTGGTAAGTGCACGGGATTATGGTGATGGCACACAGGTGACTTGGTGATGGGAAACCCGCAGGGATTACAATTGAGATGGGAAAAAAAATGTACAAAATGATGTAAAAATACACTGTTATAAAATAAAACAAACAAACAAACAGGCTGTCTAAAAAAAACAGGCTGTCAAGAAGCTACATGTAGACATAAATATTCTGAATTGTATAATTTAAATGTCTATATGAAAGCCACAACAAAGCAATTTAAAAAGCCTCTTTCCAAAGCGTCTTGTCCAAATAAAAATAAGATTGGGGGGGGGGTAATTTTTGGCTTTAAATTGGAAGCTGAATTTGTAACTAGTAATTGAAATGGTCACAGTAAAGTGAATTTAATATGGAACTACAACCAGTAAAAAAGTTTGGAAGGAAAACAGAATACTGGTTAACAAACCTTGTTTCTTTGGATAAGGAAGTCAGAAAAAAATAATGTTTATATACACTGGAAAAAGGTTAAGTCTGCATTTTCTAAAATGCATGCAGCTTTGCCTGCCGTAAGATTTAAGATTCCACATTTTTAAGTATTTTCTGTTTCCCTGATTGAAACTGGGAGAGTCACATTTTAATATACTTTTATACCTGCCTAATTTAGAGGTCCAGAAAAGCAGGAAAAAAACAAAGTATCAGGCTTTGTGACAGAGAAGTAAAGGAATCAAGTGCACTTTACCCGAAGACAAGGAATTCTGAGCACTGAACCACACTGGGCACCTAGCCTTTGAAGTCCATTGAAGTACTGGGTTAGAGATGACTTACAGTGCGGCTTTTGAAAGAGGTGAAAAGATGTTTTATTATTCAAATTATACTTGGCCACAAATTATCCTGAAAGAGCTACTTGTGTTAAGCTGAAATCTTCATAACACATACAGTGGGAATACTGGAGTGAGACTCTTGATGTGAGCCTAGAGGAAGGAAGGCCCGGAGGTCTGGAGCCCAGGGTTCCACAGCCAAGTCCCAGTGAGAGGCCACTTCCAAGGTCAAAGCATCCTCATGGGTAAAGAGAAAGAAATGTACCCTATGGGTTCTACAGACTTTTGCTAAATTTAAAGTCCCTCAGGCACCACAAAATCTAGTCTCTGGGCAGGTTTCTGGTATGACAAGTTTCTGTCTGCTTTAATACAACTTTACTTATGTCTACAATTCTCATCTCCCCTGCAAAAACTGGGGCAAGGAAAGAGTAGACTTGAGAAACAAACAAGCAAAAAAAAGGAAGCAATGATCCTGCATAGGTGTATGAGACAGCTCACTTTGCCCTCATCATCAGTTTTCTCCAGCTTCCTTTCTTTGAGTCCTTTAGCACAAACTCCTAGAAGAGAGACTAGAGCCCAAACTTTGTCAACTATGAGTGTTTTCACAAGAATCTGGAAAAACAGAAAACTGAGAGATGCTGAAGATTATCTACCACTTCAAGAGATATAATAAAAATTGCAATATGTAGATTTAATTTGTATCCAGATGGAGGAAATATGAATGCCGCCAGGATGTCCAGTGACATTAAGTTATTTTTTTAGGTTTGACAAGGGTATTGTGGTTTTGTGCTTTAAACGAGGTCTTCTGTTTTAGCGATATATTAAAGGTTTTTTTTTTTTAATTAAAGGTGTTTTTAATGAAAAGTAGACACTCGGATTCGCTCAAAATCGGGAGCAGGGGTATAAATGAAACAAGGCCAGCACTGAATTGATCGTTCAGGCTGGAAAGTGTGGACACCTGCAGTCTGTTGTACTCGCCTCTAATTTTGTGTAGATTTTCCTAAGAAGTTGTTTCCAAAAGAAAGGTTTCCTCTACGGTTTACACGGTTCTTCTGAACTTACTGGGAGGACCGAGCAAATATGGTTCAATGGCTCCAGAAGAGTGGCAGTAAGAAATAACGCAGATGCCATTCTGCAGGGGCGCGTCCTAGACCCCGAATCCAGGAGGGGCCTTCCTAGTGCTAGGACCCCCCCTCCTCTCACTGTCCCAGAAATCCGCCAGCTTTTCTGTCCACCTCTGTCCCCCAAAAGTCCCCGACAAGGACAGAAGTGAAAGCCATCACTCCGGTGCTGCATCCCTGCCCGGCTCCCCCAAAGCAGGGGCCACCTGCCCAGCTAGCAGACGCCGTGGGGAGCTGAGAGAACACCGCCAGCCCTGCAGACTCCGGCGGACAAAGGCGTGGGCAGGAGCCAGCCGGGGGCGCACCTGCGCGGGCCAGCGGCCACCTGGGCACCACCTGCGCACAGGTGTGCGGGCACGCCCCTTCCGACACCTCCCCCCGCCCGCGTACCTTCAGGATGTTGTCGAAGATGGTGTCGCGGAACTCCAGCAAAGCTTTCTGGTCGAACTCACGGCCGTGGATGATGCGCATCTGCTTGAGGAAGGTGGACTTGCCGCTCTCGCCCGCGCCCAGCAGCAGGATCTTGACCAAGCGCCGTACG